TAGCCACATATTTTGAATAATGTGTCAAAACAAGCAGATCCTATTTGTATACATACGAATTAAAAAAAAAAATCTTTAAAAATAAAAACTTTAATAAACTAAATGTACAAGAAACTGTTATAATATTAATTATGATGACTGGAGCAATTCCAATAGAGCCAATCGGTCCCTAAATAGATATTTGCTAAAAGTTTTATTGAGATGTATTTTTGGTGATTGGATATGTGTTGAACTGATTGGAGGCTGCACGATGGCGCAGTGGGTAGCACGTTCACCTCACAGCAAGAAAAGTTGCTGGTTTGAGCCTCGCCTGGGTCAGTTGGCGTTTCTGTTCCCACAAGTCCAAAAACGTGGTAAAGTTGAATTGGGTAAGCTAAATTGTCCGTGTGTATGTTTGTGAATGAGTGTGTGTGGATGTTTCCCAGTGATGGGTTGCAGCTGGAAGGGCATATGCTGCGTAAAACATACAGGATAAGATGCTGGATAAGTTGGCGGTTCATTCCGCTGTGGCGACCCCAGATTAATAAAGGGACTAAGAATGAAATTAAGACCCACTTAAAATAATTTAAGACCTACAAGAAAAAACTTCAGTTTTTTAGTTTTAGTTCTAAAACTTAAGATTTAGTTTTAGAAATTTAAAACACTTTAAGTCACCCTGGACACCCTGTTTAAAGTCCAAACAGTACATTTCCTTCCTTTTCAATCAACAAATATCATGACTTTAGTTTACTTTAATTATTGGTTCTATTTTGTTAGAGAGATTTAGCACAGCTCAAATACTGCAAGCTCTCCACACACACCCGCTCAACATTGATCTGTTTGGACACTGAGGTCATAAAACAGTCACAATAAACAGTATGGGAGAGCAATATGGCAATATCTACACTACACAGAGCGTTTATGCTGTATATACAGATACATATGGACTCATCCTACATAGAACATAAATCTTGTAACACGAAAAACTACATGTGTATTTGCTAGCATGGTAGGTCAGAGTTTTCACATACTCAATAAAAATCTTTCTTTAAACCTAATATGTTAAATTACATTTTGCCTCTTGGTTGTATAAATAATTGATCATGACCAATACTGGTTACAGTATATGGGAGATCATATTTTTAATTTGCATGAGTAATTTCTGTCCACTTCCGCACTCAATAGGTTTTGCCTCTTGGTTGCATATATAATTTAACATGCCAAGTAAAAATAGGAGCTTAATTACACTTATGGATCTAAAGTATTGATCACATGTGACTTTATATGTTATTTAATATACAGACTAAGAATATGAGTTAAAATTACAAACATGCATAAGAAGTCTTGGCCAAAAGTGATATATGTCCACTTTATTGCACTATGAATGTTTAAAAACCCAAAATTGTCAAGATGAAATGAAACATGCCACAAACCAACTCTGCAGATGTTAGTTTGGGTGGTCTTGCCTATTTATTATGAATATATAAATCAAAAATCATGATGCAGCATATATTAACTGATGCTATAAATTATTTATAGCATTATTAGCAATTATTATACTTAGGAGATATTATTAAACTCCAGCGTAGATGCAATAACGCTGGAAATGATTAATTGTCATGATTTCAAGCACTGAAAGACCACTACAATAAAAAAAAATATATATATATACACACACACACACATATATATACATATATATATATAAATATAAAAATATATAATATAATATAATATAAAATTAATCTATGCGACCTTATAATATATTTGGTCGCATTAGTGCGACTGCAGATAATGGTTGTAGTGCGACCTTTTTTGATTTTTTGTAAAAACGTGCTGAATCGCTCTTCCCTGCCGCTATATTGGTTCATATTAGCTGTCTATCACTCAAGGCTTTCCGCTGTCAGATGACAGGGAAGGAGCTTTTATAACCACGGTAAATGCAAACGGCTGAAGAGTAAAAACTTAAAGCACACAGGTTTGCAAACCCCACCAGGCGCAAAATAAAAGCGATCATGACACGTCACGTGGTGAATAATGATCCGCCAGCTGAGATCAATCGAGTACGCGCTTCTTGGAGAAGGCGCCCGAATATCCATGCGTTGCATTCACTGCGTGTTCAGCGCAAATGTCCGCTAAAAGTCAAATCTAATACTGTACATATCATCGCCAAAGAAGCTCGCCTTCACTAAGTTTACACTGAAACTGCGGCTCATAACAAAGACCGGTTTTGCGCCGATGGTTAGCGCAAGAATTTTGCGCTGCCTACTCATAAATTGGGTCGGCTGACTTGCCAGCTTTTCCACTAACACAGAAAAATGAAGATCATCTCAGACTGAACCTTTAAATTGACACAAACTGAAACCAAAACTTTTAAAGAGTGATAGAAGTGAGACTTTACTTACTTTCTTTTGTCTATTCTTTTTTGAGGTGTATATTATTATTATTTTTTATTTACTGATGACTTTTGCAGCTTTTATTATTGAATTGAATGATTTATTATAATCTTTTGTTTGTTTTGTAGCAGAAATATTATTTATTAAATTGACATGCATATAAAAACAGCAGTACAAAATAAATATTTCTTACTGCAATGCTTCATTTTTGTTTGATGCAAACTATACAATTATTTTTCATAAAGTAACAGACTTTTAATTGCAGATAACCTACATTCATGCACGTTCAAGGCAGTATCATAATGAGAAATGTAATTCATTGTTACTATTATAGTCATTTTCATCATCATTAATATTCTATAGCCTAATTATTAGACATTCATTTTGGAATTATTGCACACAAATATCAATGTCTTCGCAGCATTAGTTAGATAGTTGTTTCTGTTTTTTGTCAGTCCTATTAATGTTGTTTTAAAATACAATAACTCCCTTAAAACAATTTGCAGCGGTGCTCAATCATTTTTGGTGGGTGCTCCTAAATTTTTCTGGTGCTCCTAAAATTTTGTTGGTGCTCCTAAATATTTGAAGTTGGGAGCACCGGTGCTACCAAGTAAAAAAGTTAATTTCGAGCCCTGATATATATATATATATATATATATATATATATATATATATATATATATATATATATACACACACACACACACACACACACACACACACATATATATATATATATATATATATATATATATATATATATATATATTCCTGCACATGTCTGTAATCATAGGAAAAAAGAAAAATGTCTCTACCATAATCTATGCAAAAGTTATTGTATTCCAACTGATGAGATGTGCTTTACAAGCCACAGGGATTGATCAATGTTTCCATATTTAACTATTCTTTTGTTTGATCAAACACTATGTTTGGACCATGTCAGACATTTAAAAGGATTACTTAGGCACATCACCTCAAAAACAGAAATGGCCCAGCATAAGGTAAGAGATGACAGCTGTCTGTGCTATCTGGGGCTGCTTATTGATCATAAATGTATTGTTTTCACTTCTGCGCCATGGAAACACCGCAATTCATTCGACAACTGTTTGATATGTGAATGCTAGAGCTGTATGAGCAAAGGCAAGTGCTTTCATTTGAGCTATAGCTTGTACATTTGTCATATATGAAATATGAAAAATATGAAAATGAACCAATGTTCAATACCCAGCTCGGGTATCCAAAATACTGTGTATTTAAGTGTAAAAAACTTTATGTGCATCAAATATAGATTCTACACCTTCAAACCAAACCACTTAAGGGGGTCTGGTGCAATGCTAGCCCTTTAAATCTTAAAGCGAAAGTCGATGACATCATGAATCCGGTACCGGAGTTTAACTGGTTTTAAATAGGAAAGTTTAAGTAGACCAAAAGATACTTAAAAGCTAGACACCATGCAGATATCCAAAGAAATTCAAAAACAAATGATAAAGAAAATAATTGAGATCTATCCATCTGGAAAAAGTTTTAAAACAAATTCAAAAGCTTTGGGACTGCAGCGAACCACAGAGAGAGAGAGTCATTGTGAACAAATCACAAAAACATAGAACAATGGAGAAAACAGCAATAACTTATCTAGGATGCCTGCAAGTTCACTTCTGAATGGATGAAAAAACAAAACAAAATAAGGACTTCGAAGAGGCCTAGTCAAAGTACTGACCTAAACCCAATTGAGATGCTGTGGCATGACCCTAAAAATGTGGTTTGTGGTTAAAAACCCTCCAATGTGGCTGAATCCCAACACTTCTGCAAAGATGAGTAGTGCAAAATTGCTCTACAGCATAGCAACAGACTCATTGCAAATTGCAGTCAAATGCTTGATTGAAATTGTTGCTGCTAAGGGGGGGCGACCAGTCATTAGGATTAGGAGACAAACACTTTTGACACAGGGCTATGTATTTCTGTATTTTGTTTTCTATAATGAACTTGCATTTCAAAACTGTATGATGAGTTAACTTGTGCTATCTTTGACTAAAATTTTAATTTGTTTGATAATCTGAAACTTTAATGTGTGACAAACAGCTAAAAAATAAGAAATCAGAAAGAGGGCAAACACTTTTTCACACTAGTGTATATCCATGTTCAACTTTAATAATTTGTTACTATATCATAAAGCCTTATTAATCACAAATACATAAAGAGCACAATTTATTTTTTCTACTTATCAAAAATAATGTATTTGAAGTGTTCAGACGCAAAATCTCTAAATGCCGTCTGAAACTGTCTTCTAAATAATAAGCTTGTGCTTCATCACAAACCGGTTAAAATCAATTGCTATTTTGAGTGTACACAGATTTTGTTAATTATGATCAGATTAAATGTATTTGTGTATCAATAATTGTTTTTAAAAGTTTAAGAGTGCAATTATACTGCTCCAAATAAATAAATCGAATTAAAACGTCATAATTCTGCTTTTTTATATACACATGACATCATTTAACCTTTCATTCTACAAGCAACTATTCATTAACATTCATCATTTATGACAGAAGAACGACAATCACCTAAACAAAGCATCACTGAAAAGCAACATTTAAACGCTAAAACTCCCAATGAAACACTCCTTACCTTGAAAAAAGCTCTTGACCCGCAGGAAGCTGACGCTGAGTCTCAGCACTGACAGTTTGTCCAGTTTAGTGATGACCTCTGCACTGAACGGCAGGAGACTCGCCAGCCGGTCCAGCTCTGCATTCAGACGGTCACGGTGCCGCTTGGATGGATTCGATTTCTGATCTGCTTTCTCTGGTTTCCTGATGATACAAACTATAATTTAACGTGACACTTCAAACACGTGTGGCATCCAAGCGACTAACTGACACGAACACCACTCACATATCAACACACTTACTAGCAGCTTGACACGCTGGTGGAATAATCGAATTATTAACGTGAACATGACATAACATTACACATTACATAATATGATTTATACTTTTGCCAAATATAATATATACTATAATATTTGTCTTACTGTTTTGGTTATTGTCATAAAATGGTCATGCAAGAACCCTGAAATAAATAAATAAATAAATAAATCTATATTAAGTCTATTATGATTACAACCACAAATAGTCACAATAACACTAATAATACAAAAAATAAGAACAGTAATCATAAATATTTTACTAGTAAACATATTAACAAAATGTATCTGTTATGTTGTATGATCAATGAATCATTTTGTTTTGTATGTATGAACAAAAATGTTATTATTTTTAATAATAACATTCTTTCTTGGTTTTATTTGTAATGACAGTGGTTAAATAATCATTAGTATTGTAAGCATACCAATAATTATATTTTACGTTTTATTTCATTTTTGTTTTTCAAAATGGTATTTATATATCTCTGTCATTGAGATCTTTTATTTGTCTTGCAAGTAAATAACAGTACTGATGAACTTCAGACCTTGATATTCCAGAAACATAATTTGTTGGGATATGATTAGATTGTGTTTGAATAACATTAGACAACATTTTTATAAGGAGAGTACTACAATGGGCATTTAAAAAAGGTACCACCAGAAAGAATTTTAAGTTACTTATATAAAATTTAAATGAAAAATATTTGTCTGTAACTTTTTATTGTAGTACGAATTTGTTTTTAATCATAAATTATTTTTATGTACAATTTTGCCATGAAAATAGCCCTAAGTTACTGATGTGGCAATTAAATAAAGACCTTGAAATTAAAATTAAATATTAATATTAATAATAATAATAATTATTATTATTATCATTATTATTATTTTACTATAAATATTATATAAATGACCAATTCTGTGCAAATGTAAACCTTCCCATGAAAAAAAAAGTATTCACCAAAATAGCGAAACCCTTTCCAAGTTTTTTGTGTAGGCTTGTATTTCACAGTACTGTAAAAATATTCATAAATGTCTACCAATGTTTTCAAACAACTATATTAGGTTTACTAAATTCACAAGTGGTAATTTCACGTCACATCTATGAAGCTTTTTCCTCATAAAGAAAAACATGTAAAATAAAATAAAATCAATCATGTTTGTTTAATAGAGAGCTAACTCTTATCTTTCTGATAAGCATTGTATATTTTGGGTTGTGCAGTTTAACACAGAATTTCTATAAAGTATAATGAATCTTGTAAACTCACAGACTTTTTGGTCACATCCGTAAAGCATGTCTAATTTCTTTATTTACATTATAATAAATATTTACAGATTGACATTTTTCAGACGTCGTAACTCTGTGGTTAGCTGTTTTGAGAAATATAAACAGATGCTTCAATATAATGTTCACATACTTTTTCTGTGAATTTATGTTTTGAGTTTTTACTGCAAATGTCACATCCATAATGCTGGAATTGCTCAAATGTTATTGTTAATTATACTACAATTTATAATAACAATATAAATATCACCATGCTTGAACATGAATCAACATTCAATTATAATTATTGATATCGAAAATTTCTTTTTTATAATCAATATATTCTTTATTATTTTTACATCAATAATTTATACATGTAAACATTCTTTTCTAACCACCCTCCACCCCTTTCCCACCCTCACAAGACAGAACACTTAAATAGACATACTGTAAATTAAGAGGAAATAAACAAACAATAACGACTAATAAAGGATTAAAGCAATAGTGTCATACTTTTCCATCCGTATTTTCAGTCTAAATTATTCATGTATTCAATAAATTTACCCCAAGTCTTCTTAAACATTAAAGAGTTTTTTTTTTAAGATTAAACATTATTTTTTTAACAGGAACATAAGAAGAAAGTTCTCTAAGCCATACAATATGACTTGGCGGTTCTACTGATTTCCAATGTATAGCAATACATTTCTTTGCTGCTATCAGAGCCATTTTAATTAAAACGTAAATTTTTCATTTGATTGTAACATAAATCTTGGATCAGGTAAAAGGTTAACATTGGCAATTTTACTAATAGTTTGTATTATTTTTCTCCAATAGGTTTTAAGTTTGGAACATGTCCAAAACATATGAAATAATGTACCAACCTCAATCTGACATCTAGAGCAACACTCTAAATTTGAATCACTTATCTTGTGCAATCGATCAGGTGTATAATATACCCTGTAAAATATTAAATTGTATTAATCTATGTTAATTATTAAACGAAAATGTTAAGGCACTTTTACAGATATGTTCCCAAGTATCTTGATCATAAATGCATTTTAAATCATTCTACCATTTGAGTCTTGAAGATGACACTACCATCCCACACAAGCCGTTAAGGTTGCTATACATATAAGACACAAATCCTTCGGGTTCTTTTCTCTTTCTTATAATAGCATCTATTGGGAGGGAAGAGAGAGGTCCTAAATTAACCTTTTGCATTGTGGTAATATAGTGTCTCACCTGAATATATTTTTAAAAATGTTTAACAGAAGGGGAAACTTTAATCTTAATTGTTCAAATGTCATTAGTATGCCCTGCTCAAATAAATCTCCAAACATAATATCGAAAATTTCTAATCATAATAAAGATGTTTCATCGTAGTTTTCTCTTTTTATTTAGTTCACTGACATTGAAGTTAACTTTAAAATCATCATGAACTTTAAATGTTGACAAACTATTCCTACTTTACAAATAGACATAAGTTAACGTATTTATTATCATCATACAGTGTCATTCTTCAGATTCATTGTACATATGAATATGGAACATTATCATTCATGATTACTACGCAAATTATTATTAATTACTGATTTTCCCATTATTGTTTTGTATTATTCGTACTACCAGAAACACAGACATGCTAATAAACTAACGTTACTCAACTGTTTCTGCACAGGTTTTCTCCTCTTTCTCCCAGCATACAGACAGTCTCCAGGTGGAATCATCTTCTCCAAATATCTTACAACTGACAGGCGCTGAAAACAGCTTTAATCATGTGAGAAAACATAAGAGAACAGAATCAGAATCAGAAGCGTATAAACAAAGACGCAGCAGAAGCCGTTACAAAAATTACCTCAGAGAAAATATAAACCGACAATTAGTCCTGCAGACAGTAACTGAACATAGATGAAAACTCACCAAAATCCACATACAGCCGACGATAACTTGAACTGACCTTGAATAGCTATTTTAATTTAAGGCAAACCATCCTAAAATGTCAAAATGACGGAATAAACTCTTGACTGAGCGGACACATCACTCGCGCGCTGTCGTTTTATAGTCACTCTGGCAGGCGCGCGCATTTATTACGCACGCACGCACGCACGCGCACAGACGCAATTCCCTATTCCAGTGCATACAGTAAAATCAACATTGTAATGTTAGGGTCTATCTGCTTACACCTACAATTCACAAATATACGTTGATATTATTATTATTATTATTACTATTTTATATATCTAATTTATATATCTAATTATTATATATCTAATTTGAAAATGCATAGGGTATTTAAGTCCACATGAAAAAAAATACTATAATTTGCAGTAAACACTAGTGTTTTTGAACCATATGCTATAAGTAAAACTTATTGTAATAAGTTCACAATGACCGCATACTGTAAAATCTTGAACATGCTGAAATAAACTACTGTAGCGTTTTAAACTGTGTGCAGTAGTACAAAATACCACTTTAAGATGGAGTAAACTTTGTGCAGTTGGAGGTAATTTGCATATATTACTATATGCGTTGTATTACTATTGCTTATTTTGCCATTATGCAACTATAATTACCACAACAGATTAATTGAAGTACTTGAGAGGTATAATTCAATAACTTTAGCATAGTATGACCCATGTAAATACAGCACCATTTAATACTACAAGTTAATATTCTACCTTTCCATGTGGGATAGTCTATGCCCATTAAAGTAAAGGTTAATTTACACAAAAGTTGAACTTAGACTATTAATATCATTCAAATTTTAATAAGCAATCAATATCTTCAAACCAGCTGGTGGCAATAAGGACCAGACAGTAAATCCAATTTATAATACATCTTATTTTCATTATGCTAAGTAGCTGTATAATTTATATTACATCTTATTTTCATTATGCTAAATAGCTGTATAATTTATAGCTGTATAATTATAAATCGTTCAGATCACTCAGATTATGCTACATTTCTTTAAATAAGACCTCCATCTAATACTCCACTTCTTATTACATTGAATTATACATCAGTTTTCACATTAGGATAGAAGGCTAAAACATGAAATGCCCAAATGTCCACCAATATAATGGCTTCAAACTACTGACAGCTATAAATATTGAGATGAACTGAAACATGCCGCCACCTAGTGTTCAAACAAACACATGGCAAAAGGATGCAAAAAAGAAACATTTATTTATCACTTTATTTTTTTCAGTAAAAATGATCAAGATTGGTAAATCCAGCTTGGATTAGTCTTCCAGTATATAATTGGGATTCACAACCAGAAACGGATCATCCTCAGAGACGGGTTCTTCTCCATCCTCACTGATCTTTTTCAGCCCTGTTTTAGTCAGCTCTATGATGATATGATCCTAAAACAGAAAAAGGCATTTACAGAGAGAGTTTTGAATTTATTTTACACACACACACACACACACACACACACACACACACACACACACACACACACACACACACACACACACACACACACACACACACACACACACAACACACACACAATCTTCCTATCATTAGGTATTTTCCCATATTTTTTTCTTGAAAGCACATTGAAATGAATATAAAAATGTCTGCAGTGACTTTCTATTAAAGCTGTGTGTCGATCATCGCCCTTCCTATGCAGCCTCTGAATCAGTGAATGCATGTATAAGCGCTGACTGACGGATGCGCTCTATGTGGTAAACCAATCTCAGCTCAGCTTCTGTATTGCCATTTAAAAAGGAACTAAAGTGAAAGTTTAAATGTTTAGCTAAAGTTTAAATGGGGTGTGCAGAAGCTGATCCGGGTTTAAAACGTAATATACATGTTTTTTTATCACTCAGTTTATTTCACCCACCCATTTTTTATTTTTTTCCCCACCATCACATCCCTTCCGGGACTCCGTAAAGCATTAAGAGTGTTAAGTTAAAGTACAGATGCGTTTTAAGCTAATCTAAAATGTGCCCTGGACCACAACACTTTTTTAATGAGATTTATACATCATCTTAATAAAAAAAAAATATTATGAAAGGCTAAGTTGTCCAAGATACAGCTATTTCAAAAATATAATTTAAAAAATGTTTAAAAATATAAGTATTAAGAAAAATCACCTTTAAAGTTGTCCAAAGTGTTATTAAAATCAAAGATGATTTAATAGTTCTATCTACATTAGGTGAATAATTTTTTGCATAAAAGGAAAATCTTAAATTTTGATCAGTACATTGTTGGCTATCAAAAATTTACACACACGCAACATACGACTTTGTGGTTCAGGGTCACAAACAGCGTTGCAGAGAGATAAATGCATACTAACAAAATTGATGAGTCTGTACAGCACTCTCTCGATGAGGTTCTTCTTAGCAACGAGTTCAGCTTCTGAATCAATTTCACTCTCGATCTCCTTCAGGTACCAGTTAATGAGTTCACTCTTCTTCAGAGACGAGTCTTCATCCACTAAAAACACAAAACTAATATTAAAGACATGCTTAAACAGATAAGAAAACACCCGTTATGCTTGTTTAAGTCTTCGGTTTATGCTCTTTATATTTTTCAGTTGATCCTCCACTTGATAACTGTAATAAGATTAAATATAAGACTTTATTTTAAAGTTATGACACCAACCCAACAAACACACAACGTTGCCTCAACGTAGCGACCTTCCTACAACGTTGTACCAACATTGCAAAAAGGTTGAGGATTCTACGTTGTTGCTAAAGGTTGTCACAACGATGCATTAAGGTTGCCATTTCAACATCATGAGGGTCGCATGCTTTAGGTTGTGCTTAGGTGGCGTGGACAACCACTGTACAACATTTACTGGTCACAGCTGAATCAGTTTAAATTTCAACAAGCCGTCGTCTCATTCATCAACGACCGAGGAGACGTGAGTATTGCTTTATTTCTTCTTGCTAAATAAGATACATAAATCGTGAATATTCAAACAAACCTATGATTTCGACAACAATCTGTTCCAACATTACACACACACAAAAGCCGTAATGAAGTTATTACGAGCGAGTAAATTTCGGCATTCCGTTAACGGACGACAACAACATTAAAATCATTATGTTAAATCTCTCGATAAAACATTTCCTGATTATTTACCTACGCCTTGTCTTTAGTCAAATGGACAATAATGTTTTTGAAGTTCAGTTTTTTCCATATCCATCGTGATCAGTTAGTATGATACTTCACACAAGCCGACCCACTTTTTACAAAACACACAAAATTTTTAAAAACAAAACACCTCTGTGCAGATTGCATCCCGTTAAAGGAACAGTTCACTCAAAAATGATTTGTACTCACGAATTATTTGCCCTGTAAATAATAAGTGATTCCAAACCTTTAAGTTTCTTTATTCTGTTGAACACTAAAGACTGTAAGCATTTGCTTTCATGGTAGGAAAACACTATGGAATTAAATAGTTACAGTTTTCCAGCTTTATTTAATATATCTTCTTTATTGTTTAGCTGAAAAAAAAGCTAAATAAGTTTGGAACAAATAAAGGATGAGGCTAAAATGGCAGAATTGTCAGTTTTGGGTGAGCTATCCCTATAAGTTAAAGTATATAAATTGAGGTTCATATGCCTAATTAATATAGATAGTAATTAAAAGGTCTGCTAGTCTAAATTTCTATTTTGATTGGTCTTTTGATGTTTTATTTAAAACCCACTCTTCTCTTTGCTCAACAGGCTATTTTTACATGGAGGTAATCTTCTATTGATAATTTCTGGATTTTAATTATGCGTAAGTTGCATGAAACTATTGTTTAATCACTCACTGTTGTTTTCAAATTACTTATGTAACTTGTCTTTCAGAATGTTTCAGCTGTTAAATTCACCTCAGATCAGTGTTGCTGTAATTCCTGATCTATGGAAAGAAGAATTGAATGAGGTAAGAAGTATACTATTCTATTTACCATTAAATTTAGTTATGTTACCTAAAACAGCATGTCCATAATGTGGAAAATAGATCATGCTTATGAAAAATTACTTTATTATTTTGTACAGCTGTTATTGAAATGACACTAAGTTTAACATTCCATTAACAGCGAGCAACGCCACAACTACAGGACCTCTTCTTTCTCTTCTCATAATTTAAGTGAGTATTCAGAGACTAACTCTGACTTCTGTTAACTCAAACCTGTTTTCCCTGTCTCTCTAAATTTATTTAATTGTTTGTAATTTTGGTATATGATATATTATTGAAACATTAAAATAAAGTAGTCTACATAATTACTCTGGAGATTTTATATGTAATGAAATTACAATAAATGTCTGAAACTACAATAACTTGCTAGTCATAGTCATTTCCTGTGTAGTGCTGTTGTGTCAAGCTCTGATCTGTCCTCTCTTGTTCACTGCCTATTTTGACTTGTGTCTGCTGTGGATCTCTGAAGCTGGATTATCCGTTGAATTTGTTTCTTCCTCTGACTGCTTTCTCCATACCAACAACTACGACTGGTCTTCAGCTGCGCTCCCCGGTCTGCTGTATTCTCCAGTCCAGAGTTTCACTGCCCAGTGTTTGAATTTTAATTTATATATTTATTTATATATTTATTTACATTTTAATGATTTCTTGTTTACTTTTCTTGTTTGTTTACCCTTTAGTTTAATTATATATATATATATATAATCTAAACTTTATTTTATACTGTTTGCTTATAATTAGATACTGTATGTGTACTGTATGTATTAAATGTTGTGAAATATATAATAAAAAGTTTGATTATATTCATTTGTGTGGCATTTTTACACTTTAAAGTT